GAATATAAGATCCATAGGGAAGGACTTTAATTTCTAGCTTGTATTAAAAGCTACGTTTACAACTCTATCTGAAAAAAAAAGAAATACATAGCAAAATCCTATTTTTCCTCCTACTCTGTCTCCACAGATAAACACTTTAATTGGTTTTTTATATATCATTTCAGAATTTTTTGGGAGGGGGTAGAGTGCTGTGGTATCACAGCTCACACCAACCTCAAACTCCTGGGCTTAAGTGATTCTCTTGCCCCAGCCTCCCAAGTAGCTGGGACTACAGGCTCCCGCCACAACACCTGGCTATTTTTGTTGTCGTTGTTGCAGCTATCATTGTGGGTTTAGCTGGCCCAGGCTGGTTGGAACCCGCCAGCCTCGGTGTATATGGCCAGTGCCCTACCCACTGAGCAACAGGCACCATTCAGAATTTCTTTTTGCAAATATGCATGTATATTCTTTTTATACTCTTTCTCAACAGAAAAAGAAGCATATTATACATACTATACCTTGTTCCTTATTTTAAAAGCTCACAATATATCTTAGAGCTCTTTTACATGAGTACATAGATCTTGCTTCTCATGGTTTAGATGTGCCATATTTTACTTGGAAAACATTCCTACCCACTCTTTAAGGATCAGCTTAAATAATACCTGCTCTGGGAAGCCTTCATATTCTCTTATCCTTTCAGTAAAAGTTGAGAATTCCTCAATTCAAACATATATTACTATGTCTCAGGCAGTGAACTAAGTGCCTAAGACAAAAGATGAAGTTTGAACCCTGTCCTCATGGAGCTTATAGTCTAGTAAGGAAGATATCCATATGAACAAATAACCAAGCTAAAATAATACCAAATGGAAAAGAAAGATGTATTGAATATTTGCCATGTGTACATTACTCTGTTAGAAGATTATTAAATATTATCTATGATCATGTTAGATAGGTATTTGAGTTGGACAGAAGGCAATGAAATTCTAGAACTGCTATACCCTCAGTTGTCTCTTGAAAAAACTGTCTCCAAGAAGTTCTTTTCATATATGTCACACTCTATGAGACAAATAATGCATAAAACCAACCCTACTTCATTGGTCACAAGTGACTGGACCAGGGCTCAATATTTCAGCTAAGGACAACATATAGATTGAACCTGAGGACATGACTCAAAATTCTGCCCAATAGGGGTCCTCCATTTTAGAAGGCAAGAGACCAATCCAATAAGATGTTCTCTCTTGAGAAATATAAATGTTGAATGAACAAAGTAAAAGAAAGTCTCCAGAGTTCAAAGCCTATCCTAAATACTGCCAAGGTATTGTTCTATGAGGTTCTGAAAGCACTATGGCAAGATACAATATGGCTGCTGAAATGATTTCCCATTCAAGTTTACATTCAACCCTCATCACTAAAGGTAATATGTATGTGCCTCTTCCTTGAAACACAAGGGCCTAACATACCACCACTTCTGAATTAGGAAGCAGGCTCAAAAGTCCAAGACTTTGACCAAAGTCACTTAGAAAGTATGTGGCAGAGCCAGAATCCAAAGACCAGGTCAGCATAATTCTTCTATAATACCCTGCCAGTTACCCAGACAAGTGGCCTCAAAAATCAACAAATGACAAGTAAAAGTTGACACAGGTCCATGGAGAGACTCAAAGGGAAGAATTTATGCACAAGTGTAGAATAGAAATGTTCTGGAAGTATGCCTCTGAATGTGAAGTGGGAGGGAATATATCAGATTTCACCTTGGTCAAATTAATCTATAATTTCAACCTGGATCTCTCTTCTGAGCTCCAGACTTAGCTCTCTTTCTTACTTGAATATAAGATCCATAGGGAAGGACCTTAATTTCTAGTTTGTATATCACAACAAAAGCAGAGTCTGGTTTATAGTACGTGCTTAATAAATATTTGGTGAATAAATTAATAAGTGAACAAATTATCAAAGGAACATTTTACAGAGGATTTAGAAGGGTATTACCATGAAATAGACTTTACAAGTCACTAACAAACACAGTTGACTCCAATTTTTTGTGGATCCCATAATTTACAAATTTGCTTACTGGCTAAAATTCATTTGTAACCCCAAAGTCAATATTGTGAAGCTTTTAAGTTCATTCATTGCCATGCACATAGTGGTGAAAAATTTCTCACTCCTTGCACACGTTCCAAGCCTAGGTTCAATAAGGTGATTCTTCACCTTAATTCAGCTCTCCTACAGAGATGACCAGAGAACAGAGACAGTAGAGGGCAGTGCAGTGTAGTGCAAGAAGCTCTGGCTCTGGGGCCAACTGGACAAGGCTTAAATCTTAACTATTGCCACCTGTTAGTGGGGCAGCCTCAGGCAAGACACTTAACACTTCTTCACTTTGTTTACTCCCTTGTAAACAAAGAAAATACAATCTATAGGATGAGTTTTTAAGATTATAATCTATGTGAGATATATACATATTTTTCCCTAAGAGCAATGGTTTAATATTTGATAATTCAGTGTTCTAAGCAACTTTATAGACCATAACTACTTCAAAAAATGAGAACTCACTGTAATTATTTATTTAAAAAATAGCAAAGAGGGTGGCCCCTGTGGCTCAAAGGAGTAGGGCATTGGCCCCATATACTGGAGATGGCAGGTTCAAACCCGGCCAAAAACTGCAATAAATAAATAAATAAATAAATAAAATACTAAATAAATAAACAATAGCAAAGAAATAGAAAAAAATAATTATCTAGATGCAGTGGAGGTAGGCTTCAAAAAGATTTTAAAGAAATAGAACTTCACCAGGCACAAGGGTATAGAAAAGGCTTTCAAAGAGAGAGGCTCTGGGGTTTGGAAGGAAACAGGTAGGTTCAGGAACTGCTACTTCGGGAAGTCTAGAGTAGTAGATAAGGGTAGAATATGGGGCCACAGTGCTTCTCTGTACTTTGTACACACCCCGTACTGCAGAACCTTTATCTTTGAATTTAATTCTTGGTTTGTGACTCTCTCTTCCATTAAGTTTTGAGTTCTGCATGGTCAAAGTTACTAAGAAGAAATCATAGCTATAGTCATCTAAATTTGCAAACAAGTAATTACTAAGAACAAACATCTGAACAGACTGCGCAAACATAACTTTGGTTTTTGACAACTGCCTTTTTCCAATTCACAACAGTGACCAACTCACAGATTTGCAGTTTGTACCAGACTTTCCTTTGGTGACTGGTATAATTCTGTCACTATTTTTTTCATTGTTCTAGATACCTGGGCATTTGCTGAAACAGTCTTAAAATCTTGCTCTTTTTAGTGTGATCTATTAACAAGGCTCAAACATATGGTCCATTAGACAATACTGCCACCTCAGAGTAAAGATTTCTTTTAATTCACTCTAATATACTTATTTCTTTATATACAAGAAACAATTTTACCATAGTAAAATAAAGTGAAGCATATTGATATATGTTATAAATAGAATGAAGACAACAATTAGTTTTCTTCACAAAAGAATGCAAAATCTTGCCCAAAACACAGTGAACATATTAAACTCACAGGTTACGTTTCTCCACTAAGAACTAGGAAAAACAATTCCAGTTTATGTAAAGTTGTGAAACTAAGCACTGTGAGAATTTACAAGATTTTGTACACGTGTTTATCTCTCCCCACCCCAAATGCAGTCTAAGGGCCATCCCAACACTTTGATTTCCTCCAAGTCCCAAAATAAAACCCTCAATGTTCAATTTCTAAATTAATATTTTCAAACCTCCAAAATCTCAATCAAAACTAAATGTTGAATTAGCTTTTCCACATAACATTCTTCGCAGAATTTTATTTAGGCACAACACAGTTTGCACTATTATCTAGAAGCATATGGCTAGAACCAACACTGCTGCAAACAAAAGGACAGACTATGAAGGTGAATACAAACTCTCTGTGAAAAGGGAATAGCAAATGTTGTTTTTAAAAAGATTCAATGCTCTTATTATACATTCATAGTTTGGGTGTGACCAAATCACGTTGTGCTGTACAGCTAAAGTATGTCCTACATTTATGACTAACTAGGGTGGCCAGGCTCTCACAATGCAAACTCTCAGCAACCCCTGTTAAGCTGTTTAAAGTATAATCCAATTCCATCTACTTAATAAAAACAATAAATTTTAAACCCCTGGCTGTCAGTTAACCTTTTCAATTGCATTTTCCAGCAAGTATCACCAAAAGAACTGCACTGGGACAAAGATTCTAGAGAGGATGTAATGATCAAATGCCATCTTAAGGAAGGCAAAAATAGTTTACCATTAACAAAACCGATTAAAGTTCCCAACCTTGCAAGCTCCCTGTTCAGGGTATTCTGCCGCTCTCCGGTTCACCTTCCAGCTGCCTAGAACAGGCAAGTGGAAAATGTTAGTTTCCAAGAAAAAAAATGAGGATGAAATTTAGAGGGTGGTAGGTGGTGAAGGACTCACTTGTGGAAGGCAAGGCAGAAGAGAAGTGGGCAAGGTCTCCAAGTTAAATTAGGTATGCAGAATAAGGGCTGGAGAAAAGGGGTAGATAGAATAAGAAAAGCAGATGACGCGCGGGAATCCGCGGATGGGGGAGGGGCAAAACCGCGCGACTCCTCCCCCTCCCACCTGGGGGATGGGACAGAGGGATGCAGCACTGATCAATTCACCTATCGGTGTTGCAACGGAGGAGTGAGCAGACTCACAAGCCCGAGAATTGAAAACATAGCTAAGGAGACTCGGGAACTTTGGGAGGGGGCGGGGAACAGAGCACCTGTGCGCGGGGGAAGGGGGGTGTTGGGAGGAAAGGGACTAAGACCCCCTAGCATCCTCGAGGGGCAGGGGGTGGACGTTGATGACGCTCCTTGACACAGATAATCGCGATGCGGGATTCCAAGGGCTTTCCCTCCCTAGAGGAGCGCGGGCAGGCGCGCGCCACCCCTCACAGCCCCCACGGCGGCGGAAAGAGAGGCGCGGGGCGCCCCCAGACCCAAAAGAGCGGCGCTTCCCGCAAGTCCTTCCCCCGGCAGCCCGGACGCCGGAGCCCACCTGGGCTGACCAGAAGCCCCTCCTCCAGGCCGTGCGCTGCCACTCCTCCAAAAGCCAAAGCCGTCGCTGCAGAGGTCGCCGTTGCCAAGACAGTCTCGGCCTCCAGTACCAAAATGTGAGCCACAGCACACAAGAAGCGCCACTAACACTCGTTAGGTTACCTCTTACTGCACACTGCCACTGCACACTGCCTCCTCACCCCGCCCCCGAACCCAAGCCATTGGTTGCCGGGCACCGCCCCATTCGTCTATTGGGCCTAAGAAGATGCCGCTCAGTCGCCCAGAAGGGTATATGTGATTTTTATTGGTCTGAATATGAAGCAGTGTCTGCCCACTCCCTCATAAGTCTCAGTTTCTGATTGGTTACAACGTCTGTCTTTTCTTTTCCTTCGTTCTTCTCCTCGGTGAGGAGGGGGTCTGGAACGCCTTCTTGCGGGAGACCCGGTTCTGATTGGCTGAAAGGACGCTACGGCAGTCCTGGATAGGTATTGGGCGAAGGATCGTCCGGCCCCATGAGGGAGGAGCCCAAGGCACAGCACCGCTTGGTTTGTTTACAGAGGCTGTTGCTCCTGCTTCGTCCATTGGCCGAACTGGAAGCCACTCCCACCGGGTTTTGTCGGTCTAACTGGAAGCGGGGTGGGGACTAGCCTCTGTGAGATTTCTCCAGCTGTCAATTACCAAGGAAGGAAGATATTTGACGAAGGTTGAATTGGTCCTGTACCGATATTCGTCTCGGAAAATTAAGGAGATAGGTTTCTTGGAAGGGTGAAAGGAAGCAGAGGGGTGTTTCCACATTTATAGAAACAAATCTGACTTCTTGAGGGCTTAAAAAAAATCTTATTTTTCCCCTTGGATTTAGGATGTCCAATTTTTGCTTGAAAAAGACATTGTATTTTATTCTTCAAGAAGTGGTTCTTGGCTCGGCGCCTATAGCTCAACTGGCTAAGGCGCCAGCCACGTACACCTAAGGTGGTGGGTTCGAATCCCCAGCCCGGACCCGCCAAAACAACAATGACGGCTGCAACCAAAAAATAGCCGGGCATTGTGGCGGGCGCCTGTGGTCCCAGCTACTTGGGAGGCGGAGGCAGGAGACCCGCTTGAGCCCAGGAGTTGGAGGTTGCTGTGAGCTGTAATGCCACGGCACTCTACCCAGGAGGACAGCTTGAGGCTCTGTCTCAAAAAAAAAAAAAAAAAAAAAAAAGAAGTGGTTCTTTATGAATTATACAGCTTTATTTCTCCCTACCTCTTGTGCTGACTCGAAGTAGGGGCTTTGCAGTCATAAAGATATTGCAGAGTGAATGGATACATGATAAAAAGAAAAGGGAGAATTAAATTCAAAATAAAAACATAATTAAATAAAATATTGAACATTTAATTAATATAGTAATAACATAATAATTACATAAATAGATACATTCATTCAACAAATATTAGTGAGCATCTGTTACGACGTCCAGCCTCTGCTCAGAGCACTGAGTATATGATACAAATAAGACAATGAAGATGCACCCATGGTTCTTATTCTCTAGGATGGGAGACTGACAACAAACAAGTAATCAAAAAATAATTTCATTGTTGCTAAGCACTACAATGAAAAATAAAGCAGAGTTACTGCATTGTTGGGGGAATGGCTGTTTTAAGTAGTTAAGAGCCATTTGAGGAAAGAACATTGAACAAAGATATGAATAATATGAAAAAGTAAAGAACAGGAAGGGGTTGCTAAGTAGGACCACTACATTGCACAACTCCAAGATCACTATTTACATTGCTTCAGTTATTTTTAAGTCATGTTATTAGGTGTACATCCATTTAGGATTCATACTCTGTTTTAAAGTTTCATTTGCTCAAATAATTTAAATGCATCCTACAAGAACACATATCTCATTTAGAAAAAAAATCTTCTCCAAGATAGCATCCCTATGCCCTGTACTGTTTCTTTCCCTAAGGTGGCCTTCAGATGCATGGTGAGACAGGGCTTATACAGTCTCATAGCTTTGAAAAACAGGCTCTTCGGATCCACAGGGTGTCCTTGCATAATCAAAATACTCTTTGAGGATGAAAACTTATTGCCAGGATAGCCATGGGATGTATGGAAGAGTTGGTAGACTTTTATCTTACTCCCTACAACTGTTATCATCTGTTATAAATTCATGACTGGTTATAACCAATGATAACAGAGAGAAAAAATTATGACATATAGGGAGTGGGAGGGGAATAAGAATTATAGAAGATTTCTTGTCAGAAAATATGGAAGCCAATAGACAATGAAGGAATGAGGTAGCCATACATATATCTGGCAGTGGTATGTAGGACAAATAAGAGACAAGAACCAATGATAAAGTTATAGGGGATGGTGTCAATGACAAAAAGGGAGAAAAGAAGAGCCTACCATCTTTCTCCCCATCCCATGGCAACTTTGTCAGTAAATCTTTATCTTTAAAGAATACATTTTGTTTTTTATAATTTAAGGTTTTATTGTAGTTAAAATATAAACAAAATTTAAGTGCACAGTTCAGTGACATTAGTCCATTTACATTGTTGTGCAATCATCACCACAATCCTTCTCAGTAATGTTTTTATTATATCCATGAGAAATTTGGCACCTATTAAACACTAACTCCCCATTCTCCCCTTACCCCAGCCACTAGCAATCACCACTCTTTGTGGCTATGAATTTGACTACTTTAGGTAACTCATATAAATGGAATCATATAGTATTTATCCTGTTGTGTTTGGCTCATTTCCCTAGACCTAATATCTCCAAGTTCATGTGTTGGAATTTCATTACTTTTTAAGGTTGAATATTATTTCATTGTATGTCTATATCACATGTTATCAATTCATCCATGGATGTACATTTGGCTTGTTCCTACATTTTGTGTATTGTGAATAATGCTGGAATGAACATCATGTACAAATACCTGTTTGAATCTCTACTTTCAATAATTTTGAGTGTAAACTCAGAAGTGAAATTTCTAGATATGATAATTCTGTTTGACTTTTTGAGGAATCACCATAGTGTTTTTGACAGTAGTTATACCATTTTATATTCCTACCAATAGTATACAAAGGTTTCAATTTCTCCTCATCCTTGTAACACTTGTTATTGTTTAGATTTTTTTCTTTTTGATAATAGTCATTCCAGTAATGTGACCTGTGTATCTCAGTATGGTTTTGGTTTGCTTTTAACTAACGATTAGTTATGTTGAACATCTTTTCTTGTGCTTGTTGGCCACTTGTACATGTGTTTAGAGAAATATCTGTTCAAGTCTTTTGCCCATTTTTTAATTAGATTGTTTTATTTTTGAATTGTAAGAGGTTTTTTCTCCCTTATATTCTGGATATTAATGCTTTATCAGATATATGATTTACAAATATTTTGTCCTGTGGACTGCCTTTTATCTCTGTTGAGAATGCTCTTTAATGCACGATGAATATTTCTGATTTGCAAGGACGTTGTGTAGCCCTGAAGAACCTGTTTTTCAAAACTATGGATCATGCGAACTCCTCTCTCACCATATGCCTGAAGGTCACCTTAAGGAAAGAAACAGTGCGTGGCATTGGGAGGCTACTGTAGAGATGGATAATTTTTTTTCTAAAGAAATTAGCATTTCTTTCTTCTTTTTTGTAGAAACAATCTTACTTTAATGCCCTCGGTAGAGTGCCTTGGCATCACACAGCTCACAGCAACCTCCAACTCCTGGACTTAGGTGATTCTCTTGCCTCAGCCTCCCAAGTATCTGGGACTACAGGCGCCCACCACAATGCCTGGCTATTTTCTTGTTGCAGTTTAGCCAGGGCCGGGTTTGTACCCACCACCCTTGGTATATGGGGCTGGCGCCCTACTCACTGAGCCACAGGTACCGCCTGAACTTAGCATTTCTTGTAGGATACATTTTATTTAACCAGGAATGCTTTAAAGTGGATATCTAGTTGGTTTTCTTTGTCTCTCCTCACAACCCAGAGATGTTCCTAGGAGACAATGAGATCAGCTGGATAAAGAAAATAAATTGGCTCGGCCCCTGTGGCTCAAATGGCTAAGGCGCCAGCCACATACACCTAAGGTGGCGGGTCCGAATCCAGCCCGGCCCTCCAAACAATGATGGCTGCAACCAAAAAATAGTTGGGCGTTGTGGCGGGCGCCTGTGGTCCCAGCTACTGGGGAGGCAGAGGCAGGAGACTCGCTTGAGCCCAGGAGTTGGAGGTTGCTGTGAGCTGCAATGTCACAGCACTCTACCCAGGGGGATAGCTTGAGGCTCTGTCTCAAAAAAAAAAAAAAGAAAGAAAAGAAATTAATGGACACACCAGCAGCCATTCAAGAGACCCTTCTGGACAACTTCACAGGCCCCAAGGGGAATGTAGAGTCTGTGTCTCAGCACTGGGCTCCAAGGGAGGGGCTCTTTGACTTTTCCCTAAGAGAGTTGTATTATTCATTCATGCTAGAATCGGGAGGACTTCTGCAACCCAGGGTTACTCATCAACCTTGGGGGAATTTCCATTCCAGTACTTCTTTTGGGGAGGGATTGTCTCATTGACTCATCCATGGCCTAAGAAGCCCAAGAAATCAGGTTTATACTCCCAGGCAGATGATCTTTCTACAGGGACATTAACTAACCCAAGATAAAGCACCTAAAGATACTTGTCTTTGGAGCTCCCCAAGAAATGTGTGGATCCCACCTCATTTCTTTCTTTTTTCTTTTTTTTTTTTT